CTCTCTGTCAAATAAATAAATAAAATCTTTAAAAAAAAAAAAAAGAATTGATTGCCATTTGTAGGAAAAGCTGGCTTTAGTATAGTTAGTCAGACCTAATCTTTGCAATAGCTAAATGATTCACCAGCAGGGAATTTACCAATAATGGCCTAGTCAAAACCTGCAAATTATTAGTCTGGTTAGAGGTTTTAAAAACAAACCCACATAAAACAGGGTGAAAGCCTAGCAGAATCACAGTGTTATGGTTTACATTTTTTAATGTGACACTAACATTTTTCTTCTTCCTTTTTTTCCTCTTTCTGTCTTTTTATCTTTGCAAAATCTAATCTTCCTTTTTAACTGTTTTAATCTCTTTATAAATTCTCGTTTCCTATGTATTGGTGTGTTTTATGTTTTCTTATATATGCACAATTAAATTTATTTGGAAATTCTTCTTGGATTTCCATTTTGTCTTGTTCTATGACATTTTCCTATGTCAAATCCATGCCTAGTCTTGTCTCCTTTCCTTCCCCCCACTTGCTTTTCTCTTTGTGTTACATTTGTGACTGTGCTTTTTGCAGTACATGTTGGATGCTGCTAGGAAGCTGCAACCCAATTTGTATGTAGTAGCTGAACTGTTCACAGGAAGTGAAGACCTGGACAATATCTTTGTTACTAGACTGGGCATTAGTTCCCTAATAAGAGGTAGGCTTGCTGAAGTGTATTTCCCATCTAAAACTTTAGTTTTTATTTAAGTAGATTAAAAGGCATTTAATAGCATTATATACAAAGTTTAATAATTTTCAACATAGCTAATGTTCTTTTAAGTACTCTACACAAACTTTTCTCTAACTCAGTCTGTTTTTATCAGGAAAAATTTCCACTTTGGGGTAAAATATCTCATTTTAAATTGAAAGACCAGTAGGATGAATTGATGACTCATGAACAAAGCATTTTTTTGTTTATGAAAATATACAAATCTGGTTTTCATCTCTTACTTGGATAGATGATATAGTCTTAGATTTTTTTCCATAGATCTTATATAACCAACATCCTAATAAACAACATATGTTCCCTTTTACCTACATGAGCCATTTCTCTGGCCAATTATAGAGAAGACTTTGTGTCACTTAAACTAATAGACATTTGTTTAAATGTTTAAAGCAGTTTTATTTTTGATAATATTTTTGTGGTCTTTTTTTGGAAATTTAGTCTTGATAAGAAACCTAACCTCGAACAATTATAAGGAAGATTGTTAAAATATTCTGTGATGCTTTGCAGAGGCAATGAGTGCATATAATAGCCATGAAGAGGGCAGATTGGTTTATAGATATGGAGGAGAACCTGTTGGATCCTTTGTTCAGCCCTGTTTGAGGCCGTTAATGCCGGCCATTGCACATGCCCTGTTTATGGATATTACCCACGATAATGAGTGTCCTATTGTGGTAAGCATCTAATCTGTTTCTTGTATTTACTTGTTTTGCTAAACTCATATGTGGAATTTAAGAAACATAACAGATGAACATAGTGGGGAAAAAGAGAGAGGCACACAATAAAACAGACTCAACTAAAGAGAACAAACTAAGCGTTGATGGAGGGAGGTGGGTGGGGGATGGGCTAAATGGGGGATGGGGATTAAAGAGGGCACTTGTTGGTGAGCACTGGGTGTGGTATGTAAGTGATGAATCACTCAGTTCTACACCCAAAACTAATATTACACTCTATGTTAACTGACTGGAATTTAAATAAAAACTTGGGGGGCGCCTGGGTGGCTCAGTCCTTAAGCGTCTGCCTTCGGCTCAGGTCATGATCCCAGGGTCCTGGGATCAAGCCCCGGAGCCCGATGCGGGAGCCTGCTTCTCCCTCTCCCTCTGCTGCTGCTCCCCGACTTGTGCTCTCTCTCTCTCTGTCAAAAAAATAAATAAAATATTTTAATAAATAAATAAATAAATACTTGGAAAAGGAAAAAATAAATAATGTTTTGATCTGATATTTAGTGGCAATATCCACATACTTCAAAATCACATCTTAGATTTATAAGTTTGTGGTACAAAGTTTTTGAATGTTTTGTTAGTTTTAAAGCAAATTAATGTCAAAAAATAATAAAATAAAGCCAATTAATGTCTTATAGTGTGTAACTATGTAACTGTCCTTTTACTTCATTATGCCATAGGATGGCACTTTGCATTTGAAAGAAAATAAACCTTGGGGGTTTTTTATTGTTTTCTAGCATAGGTCAGAATATGATGCTCTCCCAAGTACCACGATTGTTTCTATGGCATGTTGTGCTAGTGGAAGTACTAAAGGCTATGATGAATTAGTGCCTCATCAGGTATGTCTTTGTGTTGTTTTTTTTTTTAAATCCACATGGCCAACGACTTTGAGCATTTTTACTAAAAGTTCTTATTATAATTAAAATGTATACATTCACTTTGTTCAGATTTCAGTGGTTTCTGAAGAACGGTTTTATACTAAGTGGAATCCTGGAGCATCTCCATCAAATACAGGTGAAGTTAATTTCCAAAGTGGAATTATTGCAGCCAGATGTGCTATCAATAAACTTCATCAAGAACTTGGGGCCAAGGGTTTCATTCAGGCAAGAAACTAAATTTTTGTAAGTTTCTTAAGGTTCAATTTCAAGTAAGTCTTTCCAGTTTGAGCGCTAACGTGTTTTCTCTTTCTCTTTCCCAGGTGTATGTGGATCAGGTTGATGAAGACATAGTGGCAGTAACAAGACATTCACCCAGCATTCATCAGTCTGTTGTGTCTGTGTCTAGAACTGCTTTCAGGAATCCTAAGACTTCATTTTACAGCAAGGAAGTGCCTCAAATGTGCATCCCTGGTAATGCAACTTAAAAATGTTATTGTGGTTATAACACAGTGCAAGTGTGGCTGTAGTTGAGAAAAAGAATTCGAAATTTTGCACTACTTGGGGCACATGGCTGACTCAGTTGGTAGAGCATGCGACTCTTGATCTCAGAGTTATGAGTTCAAGCCCCATGTTGGGTGTAGAGCTTACTTTAAAGAAAGGAAGAAAAGGAAGAAAGAAAGAAATTAAGACTGTGATCACGACCTGAGCCAAAGGCAGACACTCAACCAGGCACTCTGGGATGTGTTTTTATAATTGTCAAAGAAGAGCTGTGGAGACACTATAATTGCTATATGTTAACAAAAGAGAGAAATTACTGAGTATTTAGAAAAGGCTTCTCAAGGGAGGTGGAACTTTAGTTCTTGAAAGATGTAAAAAAAAAAAAAAAATTCATATTAATAGGTGTTAGTAAGACTATTTGGGGACCAGTGAAAATATCTATTTGGTTGAAATAGTGGAGTGACAGAAGGCTAGGAAGGTAATTGAGAAGGGATTATGAAAAGCCTTAAATATTAAACTGTTTTCCACTTTGGTTTATATATGGGTATGTATGTACATGCACATACACAAATCCACACTTAGACATACTGCAAATATACATGTGTATACACATATAAACACATGAATATACATATATATTTCCTGGGTATAAAAGAAATACATGTTTGTTTTATGCAAAGTAGAAAATAGGGAATGAATTAAGAGGAAAATAAAACTACTTTACCACTCAAAAAATGTTAATATTTGAGAATATTTCCATAACAGGAATTGTTCCAAGTAGTAAAAATTTAAGTTACCCCGGGCGCCTGGGTGGCTCAGATGGTTAAGCGTCTGCCCTCGGCTCAGGTCATGATCTCAGGGTCCTGAGATCGAGTCCCGCATCGGGCTCCCTGCTCCTTGGGAGCCTGCTTCTCCCTCTGCCCCTCTCTCTCTCTGTCTCTCATGAATGAATCTTTAAAAAAAAA